GATGTATTTTTGAATTCAGCTTTCTAATATTTTGTTGAGTATTTTTGCATGTCTGTTCATCAGGGATATTGGTCTGTAATTTTCTTTTTTGGTGGGGTCTTTGGCTGGTTTGGTATTAGAGTGATGCTGGCCTCAGAGAATGAGCTTGGAAGTATTCCCTCCTCTTCTACCTGTTCATCAGGGGTATTGGTCTGTAATCTTCTTTTTTGGTGGGGCCTTTGCCTGGTTTTGGTATTAGAGGGATGCTAGCCTCAGAGAATGAGCTTGGAAGTATTCCCTCCTCTTCTACCTTCTGGAAAGCTTTAAGGCGTGTGTGTATTAGGACTTCACTAAATGTCTCATAAAATACAGTGATGAAGCCATATGGTCCAGGGGTTTTGTTCTTGGGTAGTTTTTTGATTGCCAATTCAATATCATTGCTGGTAATTGGTCTGTTTAGATTTTCTGTTTCTTTCAGGGTCAACGTTGGAAGGTTGTATTTTTCTAGAAAGTTGTCCATTTCTTCTAGGTTATCCAGTTTGCTACCATATAATGTTTCATAGTATTCTTTAATAATTCTTTGTATTTCTGTGGTGTCCATCATGATATTTTCTTTCTCATTTCTGATTCTGTTTATGGGTGTAGATTCTCTTTTTTTCTTGATAAGTCTCGTTAAGGGTTTATCTATTTTTTTAATTTTCTCAAAGATCCAGCTCTTGCTTTCATTGGTTCTATTCTTTTATTCTTCTCAATTTTATTTATTTCTGCTCTCTTTATTATGTCCCTCCTTCTACTGAGTTTGGGCCTCATTTGTTCTTCTTTTTCTAGTTTCAATAATTGTGAGTTTATACTGTTCATATGAGATTGTTATTCTTTCCTGAGGTTGTGTATGGGGTTAGACGGATCCAGTTTCATTCTCTTACATTGCTTTTAATACTCTGTCCATGTCTTTGATCTTTGCCATTTGAATTATTCTATGTCTTGGTGTTGTCCTCTTTTGGTCACTTGTGTTGGGAGATCTGTGGACTTCCATGGTCTGAGAGACTAATTCCGTCCCCAGGTTCAGGAAGTTTTCAGCAATTATTTCTTCCAAGACACTTTCTATCCCTTTTTTTCTCTCTTCTTCTTCTGGCACCCCTATAATGCAAACATTGTTCTTTTCAGATTAGTCACACAGTTCTCTTAATATTCTTTCATTCCTAGAGATCCTTTTATCTGTATTTGCCTCAGATTCTCTGTATTCCTGTTCTCTGATTTCTGTTCCATTAACTGTCTCTTGCACCTCATCCAGTCTGCTCTTAAATCCTTTCATTGTTTCATTTCTGTTATTTCCCTACTGAGTTCATCCCTTAGCTCTTAAATATTTCTCTGTAGTTGCATCAGCATTCTTACGACTTTTATTGTGAATTATTTTTCATGAAGATTGGTAATTTCAGTCTTACCAAGCCCTGTCTCTGCTGTTTTGAGGGATTTTGGACTGAAGAAGGTTCTTCTCCCTTTTCATGGTGATGGGAGTGGTCACCAGCGAGTGGTGTGTGTGTCAGCTGGGAGAACAAAGTCCCTTCCTCCTTGCAAGTTGCCTTGCCTGTCTCTGCTGTCTGTGCTGGTTTACCACACAGAGAATAGCCTCTGGGTTATTCCACTGAGCTGCCATGGGCAGGGTGGCTTTGAGATAGCCTATGGCAATGCGGGGGTCGCAGGCCCGTAGTGCATGTTCTTCTGCAAGATCAAAGCCTCTGTGCTTCCCGACTCTGCGCCATTTTCCACTGTCTGTGTCAGTCAACAGCACACGGGGATAAGCCTCTGGGTTAATCTCCTGAGCTGCCATGGACGGAGTAGCCCTCAGGATGGCTGAGGGCATTGGCGGGGGTCGCAGGTGAGCAGTGTATGTTCTGCCATGAGAACAAAGCCCCTTTGTGCCTCCCAGACTGCACCGGTCTCTGCTGTCTGTGCCAGTCAACTGCACCCAGGGAGAAGCCTCTGTGTTAAGGTGTGTGGGTGCTGTAGGTGGGGCTGGTCCCTGGCTCTTCTGCAGCAATGGTGGGTCAGCCAGTTTGCCTGCAGTGCTGGCGGTGGGGAAAGAATGGCAGTCTTCTTATCACATTGAGGGGCTTTGGAGTTGTGTTGCCATCCAGGGGGTTAGGGTGCCTGAAGTTCATTAAGGTTCCCAGCCTGCTGGGCTGAGTGTGCCAGCACAATTTTGTCCACCTGTTAAACCCTTGTCCCTTTAAGACTTTTAAAGTGCCTGCTTTTCTTTTGTCCCAGGGCAGGTGGCTGTGGGAACCTGTTCATAGTCTTAGTCTCGGATTTTGTTTTTCTGCTCCTCTAATATCCAGAGAACCATGCGATGTGTGTCTGTGTTCCTGGTGCAGATTACTAGGGCTGGTTATTTAGTAGTCCTGTGCTTCCAATCCCTCCCCACTCTGATTCTTTTCCTCCCACTGGTGAGCTGGGGTTGGGGGAGTGCTTGGGTCCTGCCGGGTCATGGCTTTTTATCTTACCCTTTTCTGTGAAATGTTGGGTTCTTGCAGATGTAGCCTGGCTGTTGTACTGTATCTTCTGGTTACTCTTTTAGGAGTAGTTGTATTTGCTGTATTTTCAAAATATATATGGTTTTGGGAGGAGATTCCTGCCACCCTACTCACGCCGCCATCTTGAGAATCCCCTTACTATCTTGACTTTTATACTGTCCCCTCAACCTCTCTCCCTTTCCCCCTATGTGTGTGTGTGTAGAGGGTTACACAGGCATTAAAGGACCACAAATCTCCCATTCAACTTCTGAAAAGGGTAAGCCTCAAATTGCAGGTAGAGCTGCAGAGACAGCTTCAGGGCTGTCTCACTGAAGTGTGCCTGGCCTCAGATAGCCTGGCTTCTGGCCTCACAGGCCCATTCTCAGAGAATGCTCACTGGCGAATGACAATTTTTCTAGGCCTTGTGTTCCCACACAGAGGCTGGGGAGCAGTCTATCCTAGAGGACTGTATCCCAAAGCTTCAGGCCTCAAGGGAGAGCCAGGACAAGAATTTAGCCCCAAGTGTAGAGAGGGACAAGTCTAGGAGGCCTGAAATAGAAGAGCATCAAGTATGGGAGGCAGGATTGGGGATCTTCTTGCCCAGGCCACAGGATTAGCAGACACCCTTGTGAGCAAGATCCCTTGGTTTCTCCACTGGAAGGAACAGTTTCCTCCCAAAAGTACCTTCAGTAAAAGGGAGAGGAGCTTTTTTCACTGGTGGTATCCCAGGAAAAAAGGCGAAGTCAGGAAGGTCCATTAAAAGCCTAGTCAGTGTCAGCCTCTCTGAGAAGTCCAGGCCTAGGTTAAAGCGAAGCTGTTCTTCGTGGCACTGGGGACACTGATGTTCAGGAGGACATGGCTGTCATGGGCCTGATCCTAGAGAAGAATCTGGAACTCAGGCATGGAGGAAAATCAGCACCAGGAGGAAGTCCAGGCCTAGAGTCCACACATTTCTGCAACTACAGAGTTCCTCCCTACAGATCCAAGGAAAGTGACAGAGACATCATGTAATCATCACACAGGCCCTGAGCAGCAGAGCTGTCTCAGCAGAGACAGATGACTCAGAGACCAGGATGATATCCCTAGGAAACTGTGAGATTTAGAGAATCAGCAATGTTGTTCCTGTCTCCCAGGGAGCCTGCTTCCCCATCCAGGCCCCACCTGCATAGGCCAAAGATGCCAGATACCTCCAGCTGCCCTCTCTACTGCCCAGGCTCTGTCCTTGGGGATGTGTTCAGCCAGCAATCCTTCTCAACCCCCTCCTAAGAAGAAAATTTCTCTCAAATGTAAATTGCAGTACATGTAGAGAAAATCTATTGTCATGCTAGCACATCCTTCAAAGAGGATAGACTCTATTTCTCATAACCAAGGGTATTTATTCTTTCCAAATAGATTTGTTTATTCCAGTAGCTGAGTGGTTTGGGGTATATGTTTTGAAAATCTCAGGAGTCTGGGCTTAGAGGAAGGAAGGAGTTAGCTTCACCTTATACTGAAGGCCTGTTGGGTTTCTCAAGGCTTATCAGGACCCTAGAGGGAGCTTGACAGTGGCACTGTGAACCCGCCCCCATCCCAGGTTCACTGCTCCTGCTCAGATGCTGTATTTTTTAAAATACTTTATTTTGTTTTTCATAATACTGTCATTACAAAAAAAATACAAAAAAAACTACTATAAAAACATTCAGGGGCTTGTCAAAGTGAGAAAACCTAAAGACCCCACCCCAGGACCTGACTGAAGCAGTCTTCCTCTAGCTCCTTCACTATTTGACCTTTATACAACTGTGGGAGTCGGGTGGGTCATACAGGCATCAAAGGGCTGGAGAGTCCCACACACAGCCTCCATGAAGGGTAAGAAATAAGTAGCATCACATATCACAAAAATGGGATTTGGAAATTTGGGGGTGGCAAGGCCCTGAGTTCAGAGGTGTGGGGAGAAACCTGTGACCCTGAATCTCTTGGTGGGGAGTAGTTGCCACCTGACCCCAAAGCTCTTTTTCTTCCTGATGAAAGCTGGGACATGGACCCTGCCCCTACATCTTAACCCTAATACAGCAGGCCCTCTTCCCCTCCCTCCACGCTTGCACACTCCTGAGAGCAGCAGGGAGAACAGAACTTGAGCTCTGCAGGGCCTGCCAGGGAAGCTGTCAGGGCGGCTCCTGAGCACCCCATTCACCTCCCTGCCCCAAATGAAAAGTGTCTTGTGCTCAATGGCCTGGTTCATGGGTATGGGTTACAGACCTTCCCTTCCTATCTCAACCCCAGAGAGGCACAGACAGCTCTAGGTGAATGCTTTGTGTGCGTGCATATGTGTTCAATAACGTTGGACACTGTGAACCTGGGGGTGAGGCTAGGATGGGAAAGCAGTGTCCTTTCTTCTTCCCCCAACAGGAGGAAGCAGAAGGGAAGGGGGAAAGGAGAGGTATTAGCAAAGCTGAGAGGGGAAGGAGGACATGCTATTTACAGGCGTGGACATGGAATCTCTATATCTTCAAGTAGCACTCAGGTCACTCTCCAGCTACTGGAGTGGAAACTAGATTTCAAAGCTAGTGACATGAAAATTGACCCCTGACCTGGGCTACCTCTCCCCACTTCCCTCCCACTCCCCCAAGGCAGCCCAGCTCTCAAAGTGTCAGGGATAGGAACATTTTCCTGAAAACCAGTGGCTTTTTTTGCATTTTAGAAAAAGTTGCCAGTGTCCAGTGGACGTCAGGCTGGGTGCACAACAGGCTGGGTGAGTGGGGGGGTATTGCTGTGGTAGACTCTGGGCCGGCTGGGGCAGAGCCTAGGAACAGGGTAGGTGTTGCTTAAGGATCTGTCGTGTCTGTGGTGGTAGTCTGTCTGGGAAGCGAACTTTGAACTCGACAATGAGGTCTCCTCGTTGGGTGGGCACCTTTGGGAAAGGAAGGCCCTCCCCACGGAGTCTCTTCACGGTGCCTGGCTTGATGACATCATTACAGGGCAATGGGATCACTCGGCCATCAATGGTTGGAATGTTCACGGTGCAGCCACACAGTGCCTGGGGAAAATGAGGCAGAGAGTGAGGAAAAGGTGGGGCAGAGTGATTGGGAAGGGAGGGAAAGATTGAAGTAGGGAAAGAATGTCCCCATGATTCCCCCAGCACACACTCACACCCACACATCCTGCACCAGACCCCACCTCCTTAAGGCTGATGAGGGCACTGTAGAGCACGTTGGTGCCATCTCGGCGGAAGTGTGCATGCGGCTTATCTTTGAGCACGAAGACAATGTCAGCAGGGATGTTGTCAGGTGTGGCATCACCCTCTTTGGGGAAAGTGATCTTGGTGCCTTCCTTCCAGCCACGCTTTATGACAATGTGCAGGATCTTGTCCTCTGTGCGTACAGTTCGCCCGTCAGGATTAAGGCGCCGTCTTGTGATCTTCATGCGCTTGGTGGAGCCGTGGTAGATCTCCTCCAGCGACACCCGCAGCTCATGCACCACAGGCGGGTCCTGCACCTTGCGCCGAGGGTACAGTGGTTCTGGGGCTCGCCTTGGACCCCTACTCAACCCATTGAAGCCAAAGCGGCCAAAGGCACCAAATGGGTCTTCATCTTCATCCACATCCATGTCATCTGGGTCAAAGCCACTGAAGGGACGAGTGGAGCGGCTGCTGGCAAAGAAGATATCGAAGGGGTTGGAGCCACCAAAGAAGGAGGCAAAGGTGGCGTGGGGGTCCCCATGAAATGTGTAGTGAAAGGAGCCACTGGAGCCACCTGAGGGACCACCGCCGGTCTTCAAGCCTGGAGGAAGGAGAAGTTAGAAGAAGCGCAGCTGGTCCTGGCCCTACCCCAGTACCCTCTCCTGGCCCTCTAGCTAAAGAAGCAAACTTTAGTTTCCACAGAGAGCGCTGGCCTAATAAAATAAGAAAAGTCTCTGGCAAGATTAATTTATAATTAATTGTGTTTAATTGTGTTTGATAATAAAACACATCTTGAGGCTCAGAGAGGCTGGGTTACCCAATAGGTGGAAAAGCTAAGACTAGAAGACTTGAAGGATGTGACTTCCAGTCCTGTAATCTCTTCCATGTACCGTGACCACAGCACCTTGGGTGGCTGGTGTGGGATCACATTGTATGCCATAGCTGGCTCCCAAATCTCTGCTTATATCTGAAGATATACAGGGCAAGAAGCAATCAGACAGAATTTGACCACACAGGGGGCTAGTAAGTGACCTGTCTCAAATAAGTGGGGATATGGTCCTGGAGGAAGCCCATTTTCACTCTGCTTCATGGTTTATTCTTTCTCTGACTCCTGTCCAAATGGAAAATCAGGAGGACCCCCAAAAGCAGGGAAGCTCATTAGCTTGGAGATGAGAGCTGTTTCTCCAGAAAAAGTTTTCCAGATGCTTTGTTCCCACACTCAGGGCTCACAGTGTTGCACAACTGCAGGGGGTGCTATTCACACATTGGACTGACATAGGCTACAATGGGAGTGGAGCTCCCTACACCCTGTAAACGAATGTCAGAACAACTAAAATGCATGAATAAGCTGGCATACTGTTGCTCTATCTGTGGAGTCAGGTCTGGTCTAAGGAGCTCAGATTCCTTGAGGGAGTCTTCATGGGGGGCTGGTAGTGGTGGTGATTGGCATAATGGGGGGTATGGGGAAAAGTGAGGGAGATAGTTAACACTGAGAAATTATCTAGATTTTGTAGACTGAGGGCTTAGGCCCAGGCTGGGAGAATGGACTTTTCTCTTTGAGGCCTTTTACCTAGAATTTCAATTGACTGCGGAAGCCTGAGCCTAAATTAGCCTCTTACTTCTAGGACCACAAGGACAGATTTGAGTTTCATTAGGGAGGCCAAGTGGCAGGCAGTTCAGAGACTTGTGGCAGCTGCCTCTTCACCCCTCTCCTAAGAGTCAGGACCTGTTCTTTTCTTCCATTGAGGGTCTGATTATTAGGTGAGTTCAAGAAGCGTGGCAGAGCTCAGTGAGAGAGGGAGGGTGGACTGATGATAGGAGTGGCTAGTTTCTCTGTAGGGATTCCTGCTACCACCCCTTTTCAAGCTGGGAACAACTTGTCCCCAGCTAGAACTGTGAGCAGCATCTATGTGCACAACTGTTCTGGCTGGCTTTGTGGAGGGGAGGTGTGGGGGTAGGGCAGACAGAAATATAACCCGAATTTCCAAGGCTGCTTCTCCTTCTCCAGACCCTGGATGTCTCCTTAAATTAGTGCTGCATTCTCAGGAGCCTTCTTGGGATATAGATCTGTATCAGAACCCAGTGTCTGGGCCTAGGGCCTGAGTTTTGCCCTTCCCTCTGGCTTGGTCCCAGTAGCTCTCCCAGCTCCTGCTTGTGAGGTGAGGCCAAGTGGAAGCCAAGTGGAGGCCAAGTGGAGGAATGAGTGCAATTCCTAGACAGATCACATGGTGGCATGATGCCTGCATTGCTTCCTTTCTTCCCACCCTACCTGTCTCATCCCTCCATCCCAGAGAGAAAAATTTCTAGCTGAGCAAATACTGGGGATTCCAGCAGATGTCTGTGAATCTGGGAGTTGGCAAGTATAGTAGGTGAGCGGGGAAAGTGGAAGAACTAGTGGCATGAAGAATATGAAGAGAGGGTTGGGAGGACTGGGGTACACAGAGGTTGGAGCAGGGGCCACAGAACAGAAAGCGAGGAGGAGGAGAGAAAAAGAACTTTTTGAGCAACTACTCTATCCGGTACAGTACCTATCATTAGCCTATCTAATTTTGAGGCTAGAGTAGGGAAAGTGGGGAGGAGAATGTGGAAGAAAGGTGGGTGCTGTTGGGGAGGAAGGACAGTTCTTCCTGGGAAGGAGAGTCCACAGCTGTGACAGTGTCTCTTAATATAGCCTGACAGGTGTCTGTGGCTGGCGGGTGGCAAGCAGCCCTGAGGGGCAGGCCCAGAATTAGCAGCTACATCATGCCTGTGGGATGTGCTGGGAGGGGCCACCCTCTCAGAGGCTTTATTTGGGCCTTTCCTGCCACCCTGTGCATGGCCACCAGCTACCCTGGGAGGGGGCAAGATGCCAGCAGCAGTTCCCCTTCCATCCTTGGATCCTTGCCACTTCCTCAGGGAGGTGAAGCTCTACTTCTGTTCTGCTGGCCTGAAGTGGGCAGGGAGGGGGAGGGAAAGGGACAGTCATCTCTCTAGCTCAGAAATCCAGTGGTTAATTCCCAGGCTGCTTAAGGGCCAAACTTTTATGCTGATAAATGTAAATGCTCTGTCCTCAGAGAGCCAAGTCACACACTCCCTTTCCCTAACCTTCCCCATCAGCCAATGAAGCAGCAAGGACTTCAGGCAGGACTAATAAGGCTGGCCAGCAAAGAAGGCAGGGGGAAGGCCTTTGGTTCTAGCTTCAGACCTCTCTAAGGCCTGAACTTGAGGAGGGAGAGGGGCAGAGAGAGGCGGGGGAGAGCCACGGTAAGCTGAGGCTGGGGAGTGGGTGGTCTCTTCTTTCCTTTGGGTGTCAGTGCTGGGAACACTTACCTCCCTCACCCAGTCCTCAGCCTCCAGTTCCCTGCTATGAGAGTGGGGTACCCAGGACCCCAGACAAGGACAGGGGTCCAGTGTCAGCCTGGAGCACTGCCCTCTTACCTTCCTCCCCATACTGGTCATACAGGCCGCGTTTCTTAGGGTCACTCAGCACATCATAGGCCTCTGCAATCTCTTTAAACTTCTCCTCAGCATTGGGTTCTTTATTCTTGTCTGGGTGGTACTTCAGGGCCATCTTCCGGTAGGCTTTCTTAATCTCATCTTCATTGGCTCCCGAAGGGATCCCAAGAATCTTGTAATAATCCTTCCCCATCACAGCCACTGGACCAGCACTGGTCTCCTTGTTTCTGAAAGAAACCCAGGGCCAATCCTTGATGCCCCCACTCCCTTCGGACCCGGCCTTGCTCCTTAAGATCCTGCAATCCCTAAATAACTCACTGTGTGACTTTCAGCAGGTTATGCCTGTTCTGTGGGCCTCTGTCTCCCCATCAGTAAAATGAAAGGTTGGGACTAGATGATCTCTTCCAGCTCTGACATTTTAGGATTCTGTGATTGTTTCCTCAGCTCCTGGGTTTTCCTAGCAGGAAGCTGGGGCTGTAGCCAACTTCTTGGAGTCGAGCTAAGGCCCAGGTCCCTGGGCCAGACTGAGGAACCCCCAGAGAGGCCCTGCTGAGTGAGATGGCACCATGGACTGATAGACACACGCACAGAAGCTAGTGAAGATCAGTGTACTGAGGTCACCTGAGCATCGTGGCCTCCTACGCCATGCCTCAGGCATGGTGCCCAGGCTAAGGGCAGTTGGGACAGTGGCCCAGGACTGGCGACAGGCCTGGGTCTTCATCCAGCTGTCCTGGCCAGCCAAGCTGAGTCAGGGTGTGGATGCCTGGAGTTTTATCTGCCACTGGAGACCCCAGGCCTCCCTGCCCCCCACTCCCCAGACCATGCTAAGCCTCACGTGTGACTCAGATCAGAGGATGACTCACAGCCTTTGGAAACTGCTGTTTCTAACTCCCTTATTAGCAGGGGGGTGACAATGTCCTTCCCCCAACCAGGGCAAGAGTTCCCTCTACTCATTCCCCAGCGTCTATACACAAGATCGTGTGTGAAGACATTTCTGTCACCTAAGTACCAGTGTTCATGAACAAAAGTCATCCTGGGAGTAGGACCCTTTTTAATCTTAGTATTAGGAGACAACTGGGCACTTACCATTATTTCCTTAATACCCTTCCTACCAGTCCCTCCCTCTTACCTGCCCCATGGTTTAGGATCTGGCCCAGTGCCAGACCCACACTCCCCTGATGGTTCCTTCTAAGGTGCATGAAGCAGCATTGGTTATGTGAGGGAGAAACAGAGGGCTCTAATTATTCCCTTCTAATTTCCCTCCACCCAGGTCCCTGTGTGTGCCTATGAAGGGGAGGGGACTTTCCTGTATGTAGTTACTTGAAGGAATGGCCAGAAGCCACTCTCCAACCCTTCTGACACTGGCCAACCACTGCCAAAGCCCAGAGAACCAGAGTCTTTCTAGCAATGTCCTGGGCTGGTAGCCACAGCTGAGGCCTGCTTTTCTGCTTCTGACTGCTTCAGAGAGGTATAAAGGGTTTCCTGGCAGGAGTGAGGGCCGTAATGGGTAAGGGGAGGCCTCAATGCCCCAGGTAGGCACAGACACCAGCCCAAGCTCCTTCTCCCACAGGGCCTGTGCAGGTGGCTGAGTTGACTCATGGTTCTGGGAGTCACCTCACTCTGACGAAGAGAAGGCTCCACAAGGGCTGGAGCTCCCCCTACGAGCATGTCACGCCTGGTGGGGGAAGCTGGGGTTGGAGGAGGCAGAGAAGAAAGAGCATCTGGGGGAGGGCAGCCATTTTCGGAAGCAGCAGTAAAAGCCGTCTGAGAGGGAGCTGGGGGTGGGCTGCCATTTCTGCCTCAGCCCACACCTTCTTTCCCCTGGAACTGGAAAGGAACCCTAGCACACCAAATGGATGCTGTCAGAGAACTATAGCAGCTTCTAGGCAGAGGGCAAGTGGCATGGCTTGCCAATATTCCCACCCTCTTCTTGTCCCTGCATTACCTTTTTATCCGGCCAGTTTCCTCCCTGGCACCCACCTGCCAGCTCTTCTAGACCTGTAATTCTTTTGCCTCCAGAGACACAAGGCAAGCTCTTTTAGGAACTGCTTTTTTCCCCCCTCTTCTCCTCCCTCCCACCTTCCCTCCCCTTACCCACAAGCCACGTGTTGGGATGACAAAGAAGCCCATGGCATGGCACTGGCACTCTGATGGAGAAGAATGAAGAAAATGTTAATGTAGAGGCAGGAATGAGAAGTGAAGAGAAATGGCAAGGGGGACTGGTGTAGGGAGGGGAGATGGTGGGTACAGAAAATGAAGTACTGAAGGAGGGGGATGAGGGGTGACAAATGGAAATAGCTGTGGTGGAAAATGGTTACCAATGTGTTGAAAGAGAAATGTAGAGTTGAAATACTGGAGGAGATAATCGTGGAAAATGGATTTCTGAAGGGTTTGATATAAAAGATGAAGGATAAAGGGTTCAGTTCATTCAAATGTACAGGTGAGGTAGAAGATGGGTTCTTACATGGAATGGGGATGAAATGAGGATGAGATGGAGGAAGCAGGCAGGCAATGGAGGGGGATGTGATGTGCAGAATTTGACTTGGTATGAGTATGAGTGCCCTTCTTCAGAGGGACTTACCGAAACTTTACAAACCCATTCAGCGTCCAGGCTCGAAGTTTTAAAGGCTCCAGCTGAATTTTAAACATCAAGCTGGCTAAGAAGTCTTCTCCCCAGAAGTGTGGGAAGCTCCGGAAAGCTCCTCGGGCCTGTAGTGGGGGTGCTGCTGGGGATGGGCAGGAGAGCACTGTGCGCTTAAACATGCCCAGCCCAGCCCCTCACCTCTGATCGCTCCACTGGAGCCTGCTGGGAAAGCTGCAGCTCTGGAAAGCCACCTCCTCAGGTTCTCAGAGACACTTGCCCAACAAGCCCTGTCCGCTGCAGCAGGAGCTGGACCTGATCCCTAGGTGTGGAGAGTGAAGGCACAGGGTCCCTCTGCTCTCAGGTGCAGCGTGTCTGGCTGATTGTGAATGCCTGTATGGCAGTGTGGCAGTAAGGCCGGCAGTGCGAGCGTGTGCTGGTGAGTGGCAGCGTGTATACCTGTGACAGGTGTGATTGTCTGTGAGGGCCCGAGAGGCAATGAGTTCCTCTCGCTTCTCTCTCCGGGAAGGACCCAACCCCAAACCCCATGAACCTACTCAATGAAGTCACTAACGGGGAGTCTCCTCCCTCGCAGATGGGCAGGGCGGGGAGGGGCGGGGCAGAGCAGAGCTCGGCGGGACAAAAGGCTAGGCGAGAGGAGAGGAGAGGAGAGGGGGCTCGGGCGGGGGAGGGTGGTCGGTGATGTCACCGGCGCTAGCGGGCTCGGCCCGCCCGGCTCAGAAACGCCTCCGCCCAGCGGAACCCAATCCGACCCAGCCCGACCCTTCCCCGGCTCAGAAGCTGGCTGACCCCTGTAGGAGGGTCGCGGACATCGAGCCCTTTACAGACCCTGAGTGCCTGCACCCCCATGACAGAAGAGCCGATGGGCCCACAGTGTCCCAACCCCCCAACACCAGGACCCTTGGCTTCGCTACGCCCCCGTTCCCGGGACCCCCGAGTCCTGGCTCGGCCCTCACCGGTGAGGAGCTGCGGACACCGCCGCGGTCCTTCAGACAGCCGCTGCCCCCTCCCCCGACTCCAGCTCCGCAGCCTCCACTCGGGACAGGAGTCGCCTGCCCGCCGGCCGCAGACAGCGGGCCGGGGAACCCGCCCCACGGCTCCGCCTCCGCGCCATCCATTGCACCGTCTGAACGTTAGTCACCTCAGCCTCTGTTGTAATTGGACAACTTTCAGCGAGTGGCTCAGTGATAGCCGCCTATTCTCCGCCCCTGTCACCCGGCCACACGCGCACACATTCCAGGCAGTGATTGGTGTGTGTATGATTGGTCCACTCTGGGATCAATCAACCACACCTCTCTGCTGTCTCGTCTTGTCATTGGTGAAAGAGCCAGAGGGCGGCAACACCATGCGCCCTTTGATTTTATTGGTTGTACTGTAAGGCTCAGACCCGAGCTGGGAGCAAATATATTATTAGTCCAATCTCGGGTTTGAGAAGGTGGGACGTACTGGCCACCTCTCGAATCCCGGGAGAACCTTCTAGAACCCGTGCAACGTCAAAGGCAATCTTAAAGGAAAACGGCGCCCACCAGACAGTGGTGTTTCTAGGCATTCTTTCCTTTCTTCATTTAGGAGGGTAGAAGAGGAGAATAGTGCACTTTGGGACGTGTAGTCCCTGGACCAGGGTCAAAAGGCCACCCCTTTTAACTAGTCTTCCATCAAACCCTGAACTCATCTTGACCTGACCCGATTTAGCTTTACCTTACCTTGACCCGGAGTTAACCTGATGTGACCTAACTGAATCTCAAAACAGGCCCCAGTAGACATGCAGAATTTAAGTAACCTTCTGCTTCCTTCTTTGTAACCAGGCAGTTCCTTGGGTTTAGCATCGCCACTATTCCCTTTCTGAGTCCCCTTTTCATCCTCTTTATAATTTCCTTATCCCAGCTCCCTCATGAGCAGCCCCTTCTCAGCAATCCCCACAATCTCATTAAAGTTCTCCCTATAATCCTTGGTCCTACTTCCCCCTGGAGTTCCCACCTTTTAGCTCCTCTTCCCTTTCCCCTCTTCTAGGCCAGTAAGATCTCTTGTCTTTCCCCATGGTCTTCTGCCTTAGGGTATTCTTAATCCTTTATCTATTCCCAAGATCTCCCCTATACTAGCCCGCATTTAACCTTTCATCTCAGCTCCACAGGTCTCCTATCTTAACACCCTCAGCATCTCCCATCTCAGCAACCCCTCCCCACGCCCCCCCCCCACACCTGCCCCGATTAAATCTCAGTCCCAGTGTCCCCGCTGTTCAGAGCAGGCAGGGCTGCGGAGGCGGTTGCCAGCGGAAGCCGACGCTTGAGCAGACACGGTGCCTGGCGCCCACGTCACTGTCTCCCAGGCCCATCTGTGCTAGAGCGAGCGGGGGTGGGGAAGGGGTAATCCGGGGGTGAAGAGGGGGAAGGAGTTCTTGGGGACTTTGAGGACAAAGAAAGGGCCTGGGCAGAAGCCCTTACCTCTCTTCCTTTGCCCTTTCCCACAGACAGAGTTTGGATACCGATGAGGTCATGCAAACTGGACAGAGTTGGAAACTGAGGCTTGGAGGGCATCAGTACCTAGGCCACAGAGCAGAGCAGGAGAGAGGTCTAGGGGTCCTGAGGTCAGGTCTGCATATTCTCCACTGCCTGCCTTCTTTCTCTTATTCCCTGTGGGGATTTCAGATGTAAAGGGGTACGGGGTGAGGTGTGAAGACAGAAAGGAAATGGGTTAAGAGAAGAATGGAGAGGAGGTGGAGTTAGAGGGTTGAAGAGAGGGGAGAGGGAAGATGGGGTGAGGGAGATGGGGAGTGGAGGGAAGGACACTGGGGGAAGGGGGAGGGGAGGGGAGAGAGATGGGAAGAGAAGGGGAGATAGGGAGGGAAGGAGGGAAGGAGATGAGAAGGAAAGGGAAGTAGGAAACAAGGAATAGAAGGGAGGGGAGATGGGATCAGTGGCAAAAGTGAGACAGACTGGGGTCAGGAGGAATGAGGAGAGGATGGGGGTGGGGTGATGAGGGAATGGAATAGGATGACATGGAGGTGGGCAAAGGAGGATGAGGGGGCTCAGGACTGGTGCTGACTCCTTAGATCTAGGGGCTCTCCCTCCCCTCTCTCCTGACCCACAGGGGGCCCTGGGCTGTGTGTGGCTCTGCTTATTCATATTCTAGCTCTATTTTGCCTTCTCCAGCCTTGCCTGTGTGCCAACACGGAGGCAGAGAGTTTAGTCACCAGCCCTTACCTGGTCCCTGCTAATGCTGAAGTGCAGTCTTAGACTTTCGAGAGTAGAGGCTGTGCCTTTGGGTGTTGGTGATATGTTCTCCATTGCCTGCCAGATTCAATATTGCCACCCAGTGTCCCATTGCCCTGAACCTGAGGTGTGTGAGTGAGGAAGTGGGGTACACAGGGTAGCATAGGGTATAAGAATGTAGGCTCTGGAGGCAGACTGTCAACCTTGTGAGGTTACTTACCACATTTGTGCCTCATTTCTTTCTTTGTAAAATGGGGATAGACAACAGCAGTACCTCATAGGGCTGTCATGAGGGTTAATTAAGGTACCACATGTAGTGCACCTAGTTCTGAGCTTGTCATGTAGTTAATGCTAACAAAGTTAACCATTACTCTGTGTGTTTAACAGTTATCCAGGTGTGTGAGGGTATCTGTTTGACATTTGAGTCTGATTGGGAGCTATTTGAACTGTTTTATCTGTAATTCAATTTTTAAGTGAGAGTGAATCTGTGTAATGTTTCTGTGTGGTAGTGTGCCTGATTCTGTTATTTGCTGTAGGTACATAATTTTGTTTAGTGTACATGTGTGATTAAATGCGTAAGCCTGTGTCTGCCTGATAAAGAGTGGATGAAGCGTGGCTTTGTGGCTGTTGACATGCTGACACTGTCTCTGCCGGTGTAGCAGGCATGTGAGATCATGTCAGTTCCAAACACCCCCACTCTCCCTCCCTCCTTGTGGAGACGTCATAACCCTAGGTGTCCCTCATTTCCTCACCCTGAGGGAACAGGAACTGGGGGCAGAGGAGGAGGTGGGTGCCAGTGAGGAGGTGTTTAAACAGGAGCACATGTGCCTTCCCAGCCTGTATTTGGGAGCGGGGTCCCCTATCATGCACATATCCTGAAGACTTCAGAGGAAGTGTTCCACCCTCAGCCCATTCTCAGCTCCCTGTCTTGTCACTATGGCAGCAGTTGCCAGGAGCTCCCACGGTTGCTAAGATCTGGGTGTGGGAGGCTGCCAGGCTCTGTTGCCAGTAGAAACAGGGAATCCTGGGGGAAATGAAGACTACCCCCACAGCACCAGCTCTCTGCAGTGACAGGACTGGCCCTTGCACCTCTCTTGGCCCTAGATTGTGGCTATGACTTGTGATGTGGCAATACTAAGGCTGGTAGGGGGCTTTCAAGAGGGAACTGTAACTAGAATACTGGATCCACCTTCTGAGGAGAAAGGGGGCTCTAGCCTGCCCATCACCATCTTAAAGGTTGGGAGGCCCTTGAAGTTAGTGACTACTAATTCTGTTCTCCATTGCTTCTATTTCTCCCTGGAAGTATCTCTTGTTTGAGTTCTCTGGTGCTTAGTCCTTATAACCTGATGCTTCCACCTGATATAGGAATGCTATGTTGACCCCATTGCCCTGGATGCAGACTGACTCCTTCCTGAGGGCAGACTCTTGACATCTCACCTGAATATATCCTTCATGTTGACACTTGGGCCCAGACTTCAGTCCCACACTGAGTCCTAACTTTGGTCTCAGCCTGACACACTGACCTTTGTTTTAGCCCTGGCCAGGCAGTCCCCAAAACCTAAGCCATTCTCCTAGACATGGATGAGCCTAACCTTAACAGGTGTTTGAACTCATTTGCAGATTCAGTTCTGATCCTGTGCACTGACTGAACATTGACCAGCACTCTAACTCCTTGGTATTCACCTGGCATCTCCCTGCATATTCTGAATTTACACTGACGGGTACTCAGGGTTCGAAGGGGTTGTTTCTTGCCTTGGGCTGGGAGGAACGTGCTAGGAATGACCAGCAGAGGGCGCGCAACATAAGGTTCTAGAGGAAAGCTTCCCGGAGACCACCTGGGAAGGGAATGTCAGGTGTACTGAGACCTTAGATCTTTTCTCTCAGGTCAGGACCCAGAGCTGTAGGTGCAAACATTGATCTGTGAGGTTGAACTAAAGAAATTAAGGTTCCCAATCCACTGATGCTGACACTTTGAGGTCATGTGGATGGATCTCTACAATCATGGATCTCCCTCCAGCTTAGCCCAGCTCAGGGGTGGGCGTGCACCAAAGGTGCTTAACCATTACAGGCATCCCTCAAAGGGACTGGATACCTGGTAAGGCATCCTACCCCTAGCTGAACATTTCTGTCATATGCTTATGTAGCTTCACCACCTTCCCTGGTACTGAGTTATTTTGGTCCTACTTGAGCAGAAATTTGCCTCTTCTCCACCTGTGGTCTTTCTTAACCCTGTCCTTTAGGTCACATTGATCTCATTGGTCCCATCTGCCAGATATCAGCCATCTGCACCCCTCAAGTCTGTTCTTCTTCAATGGGTGAGTACCCCTTAGGCCTTTGAAGGTTCCTCCTCTACCTTCTTTGATTCCAGCCACTAACACCATGTTCCCTGGCTGGGTTTCAGTTCGTGGTACCTTGCTCTGATTAGCTTTTTCCAGGAGCGCCATGTATAAACGAGCTAGCCTGCCTGCTCCTCTGATTCTGAACTTCTTTCTATGTAGCCTCAGGTTACATCAGTTTTTTTGCTAGCCCTGTCATCCTGTTCACCCGTACCAAATGAAGACCACAGCCTCTTTTCTCCCTGAACTGCTAAACCACCTTCCTCATTTGTACCTGTTATAATTTTGAAAGGAATATTATATTTATTTTTAAAAACAAAGATACTTGAAATAAATGAAAACATTTTGGCAATACCCTCTGAGTTTTAGGGCAATCATTGGGCTTGGAAATCTCTGTACCTGATTCTTAAAGGTGAGAAAAGGAGGGGCTGAAGTGCTTGCTTGCGCAGCACATGTACTAAAACTGTAATGATAGCGAAGATTAGCATGGTCTCTGTGCTAGGATGACATGAAAATTCATGAAGTGTTTCATATTTTTGTTCCTGATGAATGTTAAAATGTAATAATGTAAAATGAATGTGTATGTGAATAAATTAGTATTTTACAAACAAAATAAAACAAAAAGAGGGACTGAAGATCCCCAGCTAGCTTGGCTGTGACTTCAGCACTGTGGACAGAGGCCATTGGCAGTACCCTCTCTCTATGCCTGGGACTGTGAGTAGGTGGCAGATGAGACACACACAGCTTGCAGATGGGGCCAGAAATCCTCGTTGCTCACTCAGTGCCTTACACTCAGTGAAGCTCCTTCCTCTTAGCAAACACATTCTGTCCTCACTCAACTATCAGCCCAGAAGGCATACAGGACAGGGACTGTTTTCCAGATTTTTACAGATAAGGAAACAGGTTTAACAAGGTAAAACTCCCAACAACAGTCTGAGGTGAAGGGAGAACACTAATTACTCCATGTTTAGCAAATTTAGCAGCCCCTGTTCCCCTTTGGGGAATAACTTTCCCTAGAGATAAAAAGGAGTGCTTTGAGTCAAAGCAAGGCAGGGTGGGTGGACATTTGTGTGGAATTGAGACTCCAGCTGGTCCCAGGAACAAGTGGCCTGGAGGGTCTGAAGGTCCATTCAGGTCTGCCAGACTGAGGGTGGGAAAACCTTACTCATCACTAGGGTCCACAGAAGATCAGCTTTGTATACCTCTTTTTGTCTCAATACTTGGCTTCACTGAGCCTGGAGACAAGGAGAAGGGACCTTAAGGATGTCATTAGGCTGTCTCTGAATCTGATGGACCTCTGTGGGAAAACTCCAGGGAGGAGAGGGATGGGAGCCCTGTGAATGAACAGGGTGAGTTGTGCAGGTAGTAAGAAATCCTGTGACATGGCTGCAGGCCTGGTTATCTGTGTATGTCTTTTGCTGGTGGTGAGAAGGGGAGGTGCTAGATCACACAGCAGCTCTTTCCTTGAGGTGTACTTTGACAGGCAGAGCAATAAAGTGGTTAAGAACATGGGCACTGAAGCCAGAGTACCTGGTTTCCTGCTTCCTAGCTGTGTGACTCTGCAACCTTGAGGAACTCTCAGCCTCTCCATTCCTTTTCTCATCTGTAATACAAATCTCATAGGGCTGTTTTGAAGATTACTTTATGCAAGGCACTTTGAACTATCCAGTGCATAGTAACTTCTAAAAAATATTAGCGATTATTTGTATTTGGGACCCCTATGGTTTAGTGGTAGAGTACCTGCCTTTGATACACAGTCTAAAGATGCTTTACAGGTTCTGTTCTTATCAGGTAAAAGGGATGAATAGGATTCCAGTCCTCCAAAAGATTCTTCAGACCTTAGTTTACCCAACCCTATCCTATCACATTAAAACAATTTGCAAAAATGGGGAGGAAACTCTTAGACCAAGGAGTGCCCAGAAGACCAGGAGAAAACACAGCCAACTGTCTTCTTTACTTTTTAGCTCAGCAGAAACTGTGAAGAGCAATGTCTATAAGTGACTCTTGGTGGGGAGGTGGGGGCAGTACATAGCAGATAGCCTTGGAGGCCTTACTCCTCATCAATTTCTTCAAACACTCCAGCTCCTCTCTTCAGGGCCCCTACTTCCCCTCTGTGTCCTCACACCTCTACCTACCACCCATCATCCATCACATGATTCTTGGGACGGTCAACACCAGGAAAACTCTAGAAAGAGAGCCACAGTGTATTGTGTTTTTCCTGGAAGCTATAGCTCCAGTCTTAGACTCAGGAATTGGCCAAAGTTAGGAAATCATGCAGAAACTCGGCAGGTGCCCCAAAGAGGAAACAGGAAGCCAAAATAGCATCACAATCTATTTATTATGATATCCACCATGCCCAGCTTATGGGAGCATCACACCTTCTGGTGTGAATGCTGAGCCATGGGGAGAAGCATGCAGCTGTAGTGGTGGGAAGACAGGGCTTGGGGATGTTCCCCTCAGCTTACTGTCAAGTTACCTTGCGCAGAAAAGCATACAGAAAGGGTGTGAGGGACCAGAGGGCTTGAATTATTGTTTGAGTGCTCTCAGAGTTCCTCTCACAAGCTTGTGTTTGGCTGGGACACAGATTGTAGGCCATCTCTTAGAGGAGGTTAAGCTTGAAGGCCTTTGTCTCACCATGAATATGAAAAGGCCTTGCTACTCTCAACATTCTCACCTGTGGTCAAGCCAGCCCATACTATCCAAACTGGAATGTATTTGGGCTTCTTAGTCACTGGCCCAGACAGGCCTGACACCCTCTCTATGGGCTGGATAATTGTGGCATGTGGCCCAGAGGGAAGTGTTTCCTTAGTGCTAGTTAGGTCTAGTGGAAATTCTGTAACCAGTTTCCTTTCAAGGTTGCCAAAAGCAGTGGCAGCAGGAAAGCCATCAGGGAAAATGCCCAGTCCCACCCGACTCCAAGGCTGTTGGGAAGAAGCCTGACACATTAATACCTCCCATTCAGGGAGATCTCTGTTGTTTGGTCTGCAGCCAGGGGCCCAGAGAGATCCTCAGCAAGTTCAAACTAAGTGGCATGGAGAAAGGAGCAATTTTATTCCACTGTAAATAGAGGGTCAAAAAGGGGTTGTAGTTACAGGTGCTGCCAGGATGTCCTGAAATCCTGGTGTCAAGGTTGTTCTGCCTTTTAGTGCTGAGTATCCATCTGCCTTTACTTTACTGGTTTGAAGGGGACATTCATACAGGTCACTAGAGCCTGTTACCAGTCTTGCCTGGAGGGTACTTTTGGCTCTGGGTGGCCATGGCTAGCCTCGGATCTTCCCAAACAGCTTCTGCTGAGCTTTCCTCTTGATTTTAGGGTTTCTTGCACCACTCTTACTGAAGCTATGAAATCTGCAATGATTGAGACTGTGGTTTGGGCTAACAGGCCCCCAAACCATCTTTAGCTCACTCCTGCAGCGAGCTGCCCTTTTCCCAGGCAGTTTTTATTTGCTTCCCTTATTGGTGATAGGAATGGGGGAACCCCCAGATTTGGCCACCCAAACAAGGCCAGGGTGACATCCCTTAGGGAGCACCAGGACCAGGAAGGCCAGTGTCTGCCCTGCAGTCCTGGTCATTTGAACCCAGGGCACAAAAAGGCAGTGCACTCATGGCTTCAGCTGTGGCTGTCCTCAAAGGAAGAAGAGCACTTGAGAGCAGGTCAGTATGTAAGTGAGGGAACTCCCTGTCCCTGGGATCCAAAGGGGCCATTGCTCAAAAGTGCAGCCTGTTATCTATTGGGGAACACTGGTCTCAGGAGAGGAAGCCATGGAGCAGACCTGGAGAGGTTATGTGTCCATAGCTACTGGCTTACCTGACCCTGTGTCCCTGCAGCTCCACTGTGTCATCCAGATGCCCCTATCTTTAAATCTGAGTGTCGGGAAGAAGACTGCTGGGTGAAAAACAGCTTAGGACAAGTGGTCTTCAGAGCATTTATGTAACCCCGCTGGGAGATGGAGTGGGTGGTGCTGGGGAAAAGTACTGGTCTCAATTTTGGGCAGCTGAGAAGAAAAGACTTAACATTTTCTCATACCCTTAATAGAGTCAGACACTAATTTTTGTACTTGGCAGAATTTCTGACAGTCACAGTGATGGAAAGGCTTGAAAAGGAAGGGGAATGGGCTTCACTGGGTTTATAAAAGTTTTAACATCTCCATACACAGTGCAGAGTTTCCATGGATTACAGCACTGCAAAGAGAGACCCCAGACAGGGTTGAGGTGGGGCTTCTGCAGCTCTGGAACGGGGGAGCAATGGAACTTCTTTGATAAAAAGCTAGGTGCCTACAGAGAAGAGGCTGGTTGCTCCTCGGTGTTTGTGGGCTTCCTAGGACTCTTGTGGACTGGAAGCTCCACCCTGTGCTGGGAGCAGCGTCGCCTGGGCCCGCTGCAGCATGCACCAACCAAGGAAGCCTGCTCTCCTAGGAAAGGGAGACAGATGATCCCAAATGGGCCTGATTCTGTTGTAGAAGAACTCTGGGGCCTACTTTGCCAGGCCCTGGGATCCAGCCAGTCTGATCTGCCCCACGGTCGTTCACCACTCACTCACAAAAAGTGAGAAGCTGCTCCAGAGAGGTAGGCATCACCCTGATCTGTACAGGATCAGGGAACAAGAAAAGGGACTTCCAGGCCCTGTGACTTATGACAAGGCAGGAGGAGAAAGCTGTTAAGCTCTCAAAGCCCAGAGCTTCTCTCTCCTGAAAATGCCTTTTCTGTGAGATCAAGCAGCCCAAGGCCATTGGCACAGAAGGTGATTTGCCAGGAGAGTAAGCAAAGGCCCCTGTGCTTAGTGTGCTTTTATCTTCTCAGTGCAAAACCCCAGGCCTGGCTATGTCACATGCAGTCCTTGTACCTAAGAGTCATGTGCTTTCTTTTTTATTTTGGCTGAGTAATGGGCCCTTCTACTGATTAGTATTGAGAAAATGGCTAAGTAGTATTTACAAAAAGCTGTGGGTTTGAAATGTTCAGGGCCATACACATGAACCCATATTCATCTTGTGTTTCATTTCAGTCTTAAATAATCCCAACCCCAAAAGCTTCTCACCCTCTTTCTAGGTCAGGCAGTGTCTACAGGAGATGACCATACAGTGCTCTTACCAAGCCCCTGGTTGCAGCTTACTCCCTTTCCTCTGAGCATCTCAACACTGAGCTGTATGCTACTACTTCTGTTAAGCACCCAACTTAGTACGAGGGCCTTGAGCAATGGGGATATGTTATCTTCTGCATGACTGAGCCAACTCCCTCTCAAATAACTCTTGGTAGTCAGATCTAGCTAAACCTAAGTCATTAGGCTGGAAACAAACCTGGACCCCAGGGCCAGAGCTGACTCACAACATGCACTGACATGAGATCTTGATGAGAATTTGGGAAGGACAGCTAGGGCTTAGAAGCCAGGCTTGGTGGCCTTGTGGCTGCCTCTGCTTGCCCTCAAAGTCATCCCATGCCAGGTCCAGGCCCTAGCCTGGTGGGGAAGAACATGTTGTGATTAGCAGGGAGAAGCAGCAACTCAGGCCACATGGGGAGAAGGGAAACCACCTCCTGTGAGGATTTGCTGGGACTTTCTCTGCTCAAGACAGCTGAGATGCAAATCCTCTTCTTAGCTCCAGCCTCTTGTCCTCATCGTCAGAGTGGCTGAAAGGAGTCCCTGCTTAGGGCTTCTCTGGAGTGGTTCTTTCTTGGGCTGTGGAAGAGGCTGGCTCTTGTTCTCCATGCAATGGCACTCTTTTCTAGTCTATAGTTTAGTTGAGCTGGAAGGATAGAAAAGCATGAGCCTCCTCCTCTCCTCTTCTATCCAGATCTTGCCTTCACTGGAACTCAGACTTTGGTCTCTGTGGTAGCTGACTTATCTGAACCATCTAACGCAGAGGTCTGGGACTCTTGCCAACATACTTGTTCCATTCAGGCCCCTTGGGCTCTGGGCCATGAATGCCCATCTGGAAAACAGGGGCCAGGATGGCTCACCTTGGTTTTTGACTCTTCTGCTAAAGACTCTTGGACTTAAACAATCTGGCTAAGAGGTTCCTAGAGTTCTGGGTCTCTGGGAGGGGCTGCCCCCCCTTTCCTAATGTAGGACTCCACAGACTAGTTGCCATCTCTGACACCAGGAATCAGAATTTGCGCGCACGCGTGCACACATGTCCATGCATATATGTGTGTAGTCAGGTCTAGTCTGTGATGTGAGGGCAGGGGGTCATCCAGGAATGGATGCTGCCACAAATCCCACAAATTGTTTTCCTGTAGCAATGTATTTACTGCCTCTGTTGGGGGTGGGGGGAATAGTAGTTTCAGTGCCATAAAGTTTAGTGACAAATCAAGATGCTGGCAGTGCTCCATCTCCCTAAGTCTCAGTACTAGATGTTGGTGGGGGAAGGGTAAAAGGAACAGAGGGAGAGAATGCCACTGTCCCCAAATTGAGCTTCTCTGCTCCATGCTATCCTGGGGGTTTCAGGTGAATGGCTGAGCTGTTGGGGCGAGCAGCCAAGATGTAGACGACATTCTCCCGCAGGAAGGTAGGCCAGTTCACAAGTCTGGAGTGGAAGCAAAGAACAGGTTTGTGAGGCTGGTTGCATAGTACGGAGGCTTCTAAGACCTGATTCCAGAGGCAGTACGGCTCAAACTGGGCAAAACTCAGGAAAACCCTGGCTTGCACCTGATCTGGTGATGGCTGGCTATGCTTCCAAGTTGGACAGACCAGCTGGCTAGCCCTATAGATCTAGGGTCAAATATGCACTCTTGGAGCCTGATTTCTTGTGGGGGGAGGCACTTGGTGTTTTGGGTGAAGGGGGTAATGCCTTCTCTTGTGTGTTAGGGAGTTAGGAGTGCAGACAGCCAGACAAGGAGGTCCCACTCACCTGGACCCCTGCTCTGTGGGTAGCAGGGCCTTGTCTTGACTCTTGCTGCTGCTGCTGGCTGGGCTGCTATCTGCTATCGGACCCACCTGGCTGATGCTGTTGGGTACAAGGACATATAGTTCAGAGTGGGACAGTGAAAGGCCTGGCCCCTCCAAACTCTGGTGAACTCATGGCTCTGGATGTGCATGTCTAGGCTTTTTTGACAGGGCAACACTTTGGAGTAGAGACTGCTCTGTCCTTGGTCAATAGGAGTTACTGTCCTGCATCTAATGCATGGGAGGATCCTTTATTAGCTGTTGGCAGGAGAACCAGGGAGGTATCTTTCATACCAAGGGCCATTTGACATGGAAAAAGGAGGAGGTACAGGAGAAGGGGAAGGGATTGGCAAGAAACAGACCTGACACTGCAGGAAGGAGCTTCTGCGAGGCGTTTGCAGAACCAAGAGTGCTGGGCTTGGCGGCTCTCTGCCTCACTGATAGTGTTCCCGCTGCCACGTGTCAGGAAGGTGGCTCGGGCTCGCTCCCTCTCCTTGACTGTCAGAAGCCTTAACAGAGAGTTCTGGGAATAAGAGATAAGGTAAGATCTTAGAGATGAAAATATTTTGTAAAAGTTTAAGCCAAAGAATATCCTATCCTACCTCCACTACCACCCCTGCAACCTCCCTTTGAAGTTGCCCAGAGCCTTTCTGGTAGCATCAACGTTTGCACTTGAGCCCCGTGCAGGTCATTCTTCTTTGGGCAGTTTCTCCAGCTTAGGCACTGGATGGAAACTGAGCCCTTTTCTGGTACTGGTCCCTGCTCAGACTGTACCCAGTGCTCCCCCAACCTGCCTGGCATGCTTCTCAGGTTTCTGTTACTCAGTATCCCATAGACATTCACCCCAGCTGGCCCTCACCTGGGGACGCAATTGCTGCAGAAGCAGGAGGGACTCATGGGACAAGAAGTCAGGCCACTCTATATGTCCTCGATGTTCAGGGTCCAGGGCTGCAAACTGGCGAGCTGCCTGTTCCTCTTGTTCCTTGCTTAGAGCCCTGTCTCTGTCCCCTTGCTTTGCTGCTTGGTGGCGGTAGCGCAGGAAATCCTCCAGCGTCAGGGAGCAATCTGTGGGGAGGGCCCCATTGCTAGCCCTGCTGACCTTTTCCTTAGCCTCTGGACACCTTCACTCACCTCTAGGGTACCCTCCAGAGCCCCCATATCCACAGCTCTTACTGAGTCCTTATCTCCTGTAGCCAGGATAACTAAGGTTTGTGGCTGGGGGTGGGTGCCCCTGCTGGCCAACAGCTTGGGAACAAGGGCCTATTTATCCCTTACACCCCACCCCAACAATTCCATAAACTCCTTTCATTGTTCATCCTGGAAAGTATGGAGGAGAAATCTGCCCAGCCCCCTCCATCTGACAGCACTGTCCAGCCTTACCAGGGATGATTTTACACTGCTGGAAGGTCTCTGTGAGGCTGTACATTTCCTCCTCAGTTAGCAGCAAGTTGAGGTTGTCCTGAAAAAGGAAGAGCTGTCAGTGGCCATGAAGGCCAATAAGAAAGAAAGGTCAAGGATTCAAGAAGGATGGAATAGTTTTTCAACTTGAAGGCAATTCTGAAATCATCTAATCCCAGTGTCTCATTCAAAATCAGACTGAAGCCCCAGAAAGGACAAAGGATTTGCTCAGAGCTGCCCAACTCTGGGGCAGAATCTTTCCCAGAACCTGGGTATCCTGACTCCAGCCCTGAGTTCCTTTTACTAAAATAGTGGTTTTAAAATTATTCTCTGAGATCCCTAGGGATTCCTTGGAAGTGCCTTAGGAAACTGCTGCAAGAGGGAAGGGTAGCTACTAAGTGGACAGGGTTTGAATCCCTAGCTCCATCAACCAGAGTTACTCCATCTTTATCCATTTTGTGTATTTGGCCTCTGTACTAGAATGCTCAAAGAATAGTTTAGTTTTTTAAAGAAGTTTAATTCTAACTCTGCTCCTACTGGGTTTATCACTGTAAATAACTCCAGAACGGTTTGGAAAGAGATGCCATTATGACAAAGTTCCTAAAGGCAAATGAATTTTAATTCCAAAGAGCACTGATATGTTATTTTGTTGTCATTAATTTACAGTCTTGCAGTCTTTATCAAATATTTTTTTCTAGTAGGTTATTTTTTTCCCTAAAATACCAGCAAGAACAAGAGCAGACATTTCATGAGTATTCATTCATGGATTTCATAAAGAGCTCAAACTCTTCTTTCAATAAACTTATTGAGCACCTAGTATATGCTGGGCACAGTGGTATGTAACATCGAGATGTTTGATGTGGCTGGAGTATAGGGTATGTGTGTGTGTGTTAGGGGAGGAAGAGAGGAGATGGGCCAATGCCCTTTACTGAGCCCTTCAAATTGGGCCTTTATTCGGAGGGTAAAGCAGAGTCATTGCAGGGTTTGTAAGTGTGGAGTTTCATGCTCAGCTCTTTGTGTGTGGAAAATGGATTAGAAGGGCAAAGCCTGGAGGCAGGCATGGAGAACAATTAGGTGGCTATTGCAGCACTGCAGGTAAGAAAAGATGAGTGGCTAAAGTAAAACATAAGAATGGAGAAAGGGGAAGAGATTTGAGAGATATTAGAGGTAGAATCAACAGGACCTATTGACTTACTGGATGTGAGGGATGAAGGAGAGAAATGAATTGGGATGGTAACTGGGTGGGGGGTGGTATGACTATACACAGAGATAAGGAATGGTAGGAGAATAAGTGTTGAGAGAAAGATGAGTTCATTTGGGGGCATGCTGAATGTGAAATACCTGTGAGACACTGAGATGGATGTAAGTCCAGGAGACAGAGAGGAAATTTAGGTCTGGATACACAGATTTAGGACTCAGTGTTTAGATGGTGGCTGTAGGTACTGTAGTAGATGAAGTTACCAAAAAAAGTATACAATGAGAAAGAAAGAGTGTTGACAACAGAACCTGGAGAAACACCGTCATTAGGGCTGGGAGAAAAAATTAAAGAAGGGCACTTAGAATGGTCAGAGAAGAAGGTAAGAAGAGAATCAGTAGAGGGTACTGGAAACCAAGAAAAGAGCGTTGCACAGTGTAGGGTGTTAACAGTAGTTATACAAGTATGATGGGATTTTATTGATTTTTCTATTTTCTCTAGTTTCCATTTTGTGTAATAATTCTTATAAAAAACACTCAGACACTAAAAAAAGAAGGGGCAATAAGGAAATGCTAAATACATCAGAGAGGTCAATACAATACAGAGGCCTGAGAAAAAGCCACCAAATTTGACAATTAGGTCCCTGGTGAAGAGCCAGTTCAGCAGAATGATGAATGCAGAAGCCAAATTACAGGGGATGAGGAACCACAAGACGATGAAGTCCTCTCAAGAAGCCTGGCTGTGAAGGGAAGAGACGAAGGGGAGAGGCTTGGAAGAAGCCTTTGTAAAAAGCCTGATGGGGAGTGGTGGTAATGAGGGTAGGACTGTGACAGAAAGCCAGGAGGTGATCTTTGTATTCCTGGGGGTAAGGGAGGACACATCTTCAACCCAGTGCCACATCAGCAGATCACTACAAAGCAGAGTTGCTGTGAGTGAAAAAGCTGCCATCTCGAGGGGTGGTGACCAGAGAACACTGTCTGTAGAGCAGGGTCATCTGTGGCATACTCCAGCTGGAGAAAAGGTATTTAACCGTCTGGAAATAACTGTTCTATACTTGATTTTATGGACAAGTCACAGAGAAAGCATTATTTGTTAGCAAGTGGCGTAGCTTTGCTTTCTTCTAGGCAGTAGGAAGAAAAAGGGGATCAGCAGATGCTCCTAACTCTGAAATCAGTGAATAAAGAAGATCTCTGCAGGACAACAGATCAATAAAGCAAGATTTGAACTCTACTCAGATGTGCTAAGAAATGGGTATGAATCTAGCTTTTTGTTTTAAAAGTTGGAAGGCATTTATATATAATTTGAAAAGTTCCAAATCAACAGACCTTTGTTACTTAATTTACATAATGTCACTTCAGAGATGAACAACAAATGCTCCTAAGAGCTCGTGGGCCAAGAAGTTTTCCTGTGATAAAATCTATTACTGTTTGAAGCAAGCTGGTTAGGATTTCAGGATGGTTTTTCAGATGAGCACAATGAATGACAACTATAGACTGTTAAGAGAAAGCACTGCTCCAGTCAGTTACTTTTGAGTCAATAGGCCTCATCCTATCCATTTAGTTTTCTAGCTCAGTGGTTCCCAACTAGGGATGATTGTGCTTCCCCAGGACACACTTGGAAATATCTGGAGACATTTTTGGCTGTCACAACTTGGTGTGGGTATTGCTGACCTCTAATGGGATAGAGGCCAGGGATGCCACTAAACATCTTACAGTACACACAGCTCCCATAAATAAGTTTCGTGCCCAAACGTCAAAAATACCGAGGGAGAGAAAGCCTGTCTAAGCTCTACTTGTATCTACTACTGGAAAACTCTTGAGGTCACTGCCTAGAGACAAGTGTTCTAAGACGGGGCCTCCAGGAAAAGAGCCAAGTTCCCTGTGGTGCAGCAGCCCGTTGTTCCTGCAGTTAGGCTCACACAGTAGTGGCAGCTCCAGCCTGTCTCTGTGTGCGCCATCTCAGTCACCTCCGCTGCACTGTCTCCGTGGAGGTAGCCCATTCGGCGCAGGCAGCCATCGTGGAAAACCCTTGTGCAGACCCTGCATGGAAAGAGGCTTTCGGCAGTCCAGACCTCACAGACATCACACATCTCATCGTTGACAACCTGGGGAAGGATGGCAGGAATGAACACGGATGTGTAAGCACAGGTAGCAAGATCCCATGGCCACCAAGCACAAAGCTGCCCGCATGGAGCTGAGTGTCCCTAGAGCAGCCCAGAGGAACCACTCCAACTGAAGCCAGTGTTACGGCCGCAGAGCTTTTTCTCTGGGAGACAAGAACCAGCAGGCTCTTCCAGCTGCTCAAGCCTCTGTGACCATATTTCTGAACAGGGACTTCTACTAGCATTTTTGGAAAGAATCTGTTGTGAGATTATTGCAGGCACTGTAGGATACTTAGCATCCCTGCTATACTGGGCACAAATATCAGTAGCAGCTCCCAGTTTTTGTCTTCTCCAACTCCCCTCAACAGCAACACCCTCCACAAATTCCCAAATGCTTCCTAAGACCTCCTGTGATATCACTTCTTATTTCCTACTGCCTCAAGTCATTCACTAAGACTAAGCCAGGATGTAACTAACATTTTTAATCTTATGGAAGAAATTCGAAGATTGTTCTGGACTCAGCTCCATCTTTCTGGTTTTGAGTCTCACTTCAACCATATACCTATATCCTCAGGTCTAAGATGGGATGATTCTGCCCTGAATAGACACTCACAGGCTCTCTGGGCTCCAAGCAGATATCTGGAGGTTTGTCATCATCCAGCTTCCGGGTGGGGCGGATGAAGGCAGGGGGTGTGAAACGATTGGTCCTGTCAAACTCCTCAGGTTCTACTCCACGCCCATCTCGGAGCCTCTCCCAGGCTGCACGGTTGACACTGCTTTCTTCTTGGAGCACTGGGATACTTGCCTCTGCTTCTTTCTCCTCCTGCACCTCTTGAACGGAGCCCTCTACAGTGCCACGGGGGGACCCTGGAAGCTCACCTGTACGTCGGATGGAAGGCCTATCCCGCAGCCCATCCTTGAAGGCAGACACTGCCAGGCTCACCTTCTGCACCTGCTCCACTGTCTGCCGCTTGGACATCAACACCCCCATGGCTCTGTGGGCAAAGAGCAGGGGGTGCCCGTACTTAGCCAATGGCTGACCATGTGGGGCCAGTCAGTTTCAACCAGTGCTATTAATTTCTCCCTCTTCTGGAAATCAGTAGCAAGGTAGGGTAGAGAGAGCACTTTTTAAGGAGTCAGAAGACCCTGGTTCTATTTCTGACTAGTCCTGTGACTTTGGTTGTCTCATTTATAAAATGAGGGTTATCTACCCAGTGTAGTTCACAGGCTGTAGTGAGGATAACTTTAGAAAATGGGCTTAACACTGCTTAGTAGACTAGAAAGCACTCTACAAATGTGAAATGGTATCTCTGCCTTTCTTGCTGTTCCAAAGCCAGTTAGGTCCAGGGGTCCCAGGCTGTGCTACTTTGAGATAGTTGGAGACTTCAGAGCCCAAGTCCCTCCTCTGCTCCACAAGATGACCCAAGGCTTAATGCAAGACTAGAGCTACACATTTCAGACTTCTGATTGAAGGGAGCTCCTCCAACAAGTGCTGGGCACAATCCATTGAGGGATAATCCACATCAAATGCCTACTTTTTGAGTCAGAGTGAATGAACTCCTATTTTTAAAGGACTCCTAAATTAGACAGTCAGGAAACTCTACCACCATATCCATGTGGGCAAGGTTACAAACACTCTATTGTGCCCTCCAATCAGTAGCTTTTTATGGGTCTGTTTGTCTTTCACAGACAATTATCTCATTATAAGCTCTAAGGTGCTTCTCATACAAGGCTTTATTAATGCCACTCTCACCTTTTCTGCTTTGATTTTCTGAACTGTTCAAGAAAGGTCCATATCCTGTTAAGGTTAAAAAGTAACATTATCCCTGTTCTTCCTCTGGAGTACCAGGGTACCACTCTGGAAAGTGAGGGCATGACATTGCACATTGGGAAGCTGAACTGCTATTTCCTAGCCTGAAGGGTCTTAGTGGAATTCAGCTGGGGAATGTGTATTCTAGGCAAAGTGGAGCAGAGAGCCCATTTCAGCCTTGCTCTCAATCTATTATAATCAAGATTTACTGAACAGCTATGTGTAAGGTATCAACTACTCATCATAAGAAACAGAAGACAGGAGAACAGTCTCAAGATACTTAATATCAGAACTCAAAGAAGAGTAAGACAGAGTGGTAGAAATACCTAAAGGAGAGTGAGATCACACTCTGGGAGTCCAAGTGGACCATGAAGGGTGAGTGGGAACTTATCCTCAGTTTGTTTGGGGAAAAGGTGACAGAGAGCAGGAGAGGAGGTTAGGGACAATTAGAAGGTTACTATAGTAGTCCAGGCAAGAGGTAACGGTTTACTGAAATGATGGCAGCAGGAATGATACTGAGTTTATTAGATACCATGGATACAGAATTAGTTAATTTTAAGAATAGATAACTGACTAGACTAAGGGTAAAGAGACAAGGCAGTTTTATTTTTATTTCCCAGCTTTGTTGAGATATAATTCTTAAAATTTGAGGTACATACAATAAAACGCACAGATCTTAGTGTATAGCTCAATGAATCTTAACATATGGATACACTCATGTAACCATCATCTCAATCAAGATATCAAACATCCTAATTTTTCCCCCTTTATTTTATCCAAACTTCCATCCCCCTCCACTATGGCAACCACCAGCCTATTCTCTGTGTTTATGTGTCTACCTCTCTTTGTTCTTTTATTTTGTTTTTTAGATTCCACATGTAAGTGAAACATGTTACATTGTGTCTTTTTCTGTCTGATTTATTTCACTTAGCATAATACCCTCTAAGTCCATCCATGTTGTTGCAAATGGCAGAATTTTTCTTTTTATGGGTGAGTAATATTGCATTGTGTGTGAGTACCATGTCATTATCTACTGATGGACACCTTAGTTGCTTCCATATTTTGGCTACTGTAAATAATGCTGCAGTAAACATGGGAGTACACATATCTTTTGAATTAGTTATTTTGTTTTCTTTGGGTGAATTCCAAGAAGCATGGTATTTTTCATTTTTTTGAAAATATTCCATACTGCTTTCATAGTGACTGCACCAATTTACATTACCATCAACAGTGCATGAGGGTTCCCTTTTCTCCACGTCCTTGCCAACATTTATTGTTTCTTCTCTTTTGATATTAGCCATATTGAGATATAACTGGCATATAACATTCTATAAATTTAAGGTACACAATGTGATTATTTGATACATGTATATATTGCAAAATGCTTACCACAGTAAGGTTAGTTACTACATTCTTTACCTCACATAATCACCATTTTGTTGTTGTTATGGTGAGAACATTAGAGCTCTACTCTTATTTCAAGTATATAATATAGTATTGTTAACCATGGTCACTATGCTGTAACTTAGACCCCTGGAAGTTATTCATCTTATAAATGAACATTTGTAGCTGTTGACCAACATCTCTCCATTTCTCTCACTGCTGACAGCCACCATTCTACTCTGTTTCTGTGAGTTTGATGTTTTTTAGATTCCATGTATAAGTGAATTATACAGTATTTCATTCAGTCTTTCTCTGACATATTGGGAGGGCAGTTTTTTTTAACTTTTTTTTTTTAAGGTATCATTGATATATACACTCTTATGAAGGTTTCACATGAGGAACATTGTGGTTACTACATTCACCCATATTATCGAGTCTCCCGACACATCCTATTGCAGTCACTGTCCATCAGCATAGTAAGATGCTATAGAGTCACTACTTGTCTTCTCTGTGCTATACTGGAAAGGGCTGTTTTAAGTTGACTAACTAGAAGTATGGTCATGCCGTTTACAGACATTGGGAAATAAAAAAGGGACAGTGAAATGGGTTTTTTACATTTGAATTAAACATGTCTTCCGAGCCATTCAGGTGTTAGGTTATCCCCTGCTCAAAACTTTTCAATGGCTTTCTACAGGTTTCCAAATAAAGTCCTCCAAATTGGTCTCTATCATGTTCTGTGAGGCCTTGCTCAGTCTGGCATCCCTTCTTTACTCTGTTCTAAACACACTGGCCTAGTTTCAGTCTTTGTGTGCCATGCTCCCTATATTTTTGGGACCTGTGAACATTCCTTCTCCCTAGTAGTGCCTATTCATCTGCCAGAACTTACCTCAAGTTTCATTTCCTCATGGAAGTCACTGCTGACTCCCCAGTCCAGGTCTGAGTGCTCACAGCACCATGCTTTTCTGCTCCAGAGCATTTATTTTTGTCATTACATATTCAATAGGATGATTATCTAATCAATGTCAGTTTCCTCTATTAGATTGTTTATACCATGCACAGTACCTATCTTCACTGCCCAGCAATGTGTTTGGATGAGAACAATGCTTAATAAACATTTCCCAACTAATTAATTGTGGAGAAGTCTTTTTGATTTTTTTAAGAAGTATGGAACGCTTCATGAGCAGGGGCCATGCTAATATTCTCTGTATCGTTCCAATTTTAGTGTATGTGCTGCCGGAGCGAGTACTCATTTTTTTATAAAGCCTTCATACACATAATATCTGATAACAGCCACATCTTTTTTTCCCAGAAACAACTATTGTATGTACAAATTCCCACTCTGCTTGCCCTGACACCTATTGTTACCAACAGAAGAAACACATCCCATATTTTTGAATTTATAAACTAATAAGAAGGAAAAGATCCCTCCCCATTATTAGAGTGGGCAACTAATAATAAATTGTGATTAAGAAATCCTTTTTCTCCCTGATTGCAAAAAATATTGGACAAGGGGAAATGGTTAAATTATGGTACAATGGAAGATTGAACAATCTGAAGTGCAATGAAGTAGAAATATATTGATGTGGAAAGATATTCAATAGATATGAACATATTAATGAAAACAGCAAGTTACAAAAATATTCATGTTATAATCTAATTTTTCTAAGAAAGCATATAAAACTCAAAATAGAAATACCATTTGACCCAGGAATTCCACTTCTAGGAATTTACCCTAAGAATGCAGCAGCCCACTTTGAAAAAGACATATGCACACCTATGTTTATCGCAGCACTATTTACAATAGCCAAGAAATGAGAGCAACCTAAGTGTCCATCAGTAGATGAATGGATAAAGAAGATGTGGTACATACACACAACGGAATATTATTCAGCCATAAGAAGAAAACAAATCCTAC